TGCGGCTGGGAGATGATGTGAAACCGGTCCTTGACAAGATCAAAACACCTATGCGAGGATGGCAGCGGCGGGCAGCGAAGTGTCGTAGATGCAACAGTGCACCAAGATCATCTCGGTGCTCGACAACTCGTGGGACAACCTCATCCCCACCCTCAACGTTCAGCAGGACAATATGGACGCCTTAGTGGCTACGGCAGCAGATCCTGCAGGAGGACTTCCGCAGGCGCCACACTGGAGGTGGTGCTGCCAAAAAAACTGCCGAGGGGTATGGAGCTGCAGGAGGCAGCAGCGGGAGAGGGGGAGGGAGAGGCCGAGGCCGTGGGAGAGGCTTTGGCAGAGGAAGAGGCCGAGGTGACTACAACGAGGGCATGGAAGCTCTGGTGGCAGGGGAGCACCCGAATGGAGGGTGCGTGCTGGTACTGCAAGAAGGCTGGACACCCATGGTTCAAGTGTTTCAGCCGGCCTGAAGGATGGGCGCCTCCAGGCATGAAGCCGCCAAAGTGGTGAATGTGCACGAGGTGGCGCTGTGCAAGGTTCAGGTGCACAAGGTGATGGTGCACAAGGTAAAGCTGACCCTGGGATGTTCCTCATGGTTGAGGATGTGCAAGGGAGTGGGGGTGATGTGGGTTCAGTTGGGAAGGTTATGATGCACCCCCTCACTCACTGGGTGATCGATTCAGGTTGCACGAGTCATATGACCCCACGGGCAGATTTGCTTGATGAGGTAAAACCTCCTGGGAAGATCAAGTTTGTGGCTGCCGCTTCTGGTGCTTTGCTTCCTGTGATTGGTGTTGGGAATGCCAAGGTGATGGGAGCCAATGGAGAGCTTGGGGGGCTTGGGAATGTGCTGTTTGTTGAAGGTTTGTCCGCTAACCTTCTTTCTGTGCGCCGGCTGCAGAAGAGCAAGGCTGAAGTTACCTTCGGCCCAACCAGCTGCCGTGCAAAGCTTGGGAAGTTGCTGCTGTGGAACTTGGAGGAGAAGAGCAGCTGCATCAAGGACCTATGGCAGCTGCCCATCATCCCTTGGAAGGGGAAACCACCAGCAACGGCAAAGGCAGCGGCAGCGGCTAAAGCAACTGCGGGAGGAGAGGAGACTGCACCAACTGCAGGGGCCCTGGATGCAGTCAAGAAGGTGCAGCAGCCACAACAGCCACATGGTGAGATGCTTGCTGGTGTGGATGCGACAGCTGCATGGGCAAAGGCTTCATCTGGGAGTGGTGAGGCTGATTGGGAGACGTGGCATGAGAGGCTATGCCACATCAACATTCCTATGCTGCAGAAGTTGGTAAAGGATGGGTGCTTGAAGGGCCTAGAGGTGAAGGGGGGAGCAAAGGAGATTGGAGCTGCCCTACCTGCCTTGAGACCAAATTCACGAAGTTTCCCTTCAGCAGCAGCACAGGACCAGCAAATGCACCACTTGCACTAGTGCACATGGATGTGGTGGGCCCCACGAGGGCCCTTTCTCTCTCGGGCAGCCGCTACTTCTTGACAATTGTGGACGACCACACGCGTGCGGTGTGGGTGTACCCTCTCAAGACTAAGGGGGAGGTGGCAGCGGCTGTTCTTAAGGAGGGGATGCCGAGAGCACAAAGGGAGAGCGGACATAAGGTGAAGGTGATCCGCACCGACAATGGAGGAGAATTCATCGGCGCTGATTTTGAGGCGGTGCTGAAGAAGAAGGGGATCCAGCATCAGCTCACAGTGCCTTACAACCCTCAGCAGAATGGCTTGGCTGAGCGGTTCAACCGGACCCTGCAGGAAGGTGCTCGCACTCTCCTTGGGCGTGCAGGGCTGCCGGATCCGTTTTGGGTGACAGCACTGCGGCAGGTCGTTGTTGTGAAGAACCGGGTGCTGGCGACTGTGGGGACAAGCAATGGGTCCCCTACACCAAGTGGTATGGGAGTGTGCCTGCAGTCAACATGCTGAGAACTTATGGCTGTATGGTGGTGTTTCATGTGCCTAAGGAGAAGAGGGGAAAACTGGAAGCTTCTGGGAGATGGGGTGTGCACTTGGGGCTTGCAAAGGATCACAAGGGCTGGCTGATTTGGGACTTGACCAGCCAGCAGCTGACTGTGTCGAGGGATGTGAAGTTCCTTGAGTCCTTGTACTACAAGGAGTGGAAGCAGCAGCAGCAGAAGCTTCCCACTACACCGCTGATCATTGAGGCTGATGAGGTGCAGCGGCCTTCGAGGCAAGTGCAGGTCACTGTCTCAGAGGAGGAGATTTTGGGGTGACTGAGGATGGGGGAGAACCTGAGGTGGAGCAGCAGCAGCAGCAGCAGCAGCAGCCGCTAGCAGCAGCAGCAGCCACAGCAGCAGGAGCAAGGTGCTCCACAAGGTGCCGCGCGTCCGGCTGACCGTTCCCCGGAGGGAAGTGCGCCCTCCTAACCGGCTGACCTATCCGAGCTTTGGCAAGCCAAAGGTGGTACGGGCTGGGAGTGTGGCTGAGCAGTGTGATGAGGCATGCGATAGCACACTGCTACTGGGCAAGCCGTCCCTGAGCCCAAGACGTTAGCCGAGGCATGAGCGGGCCCGACGCTCGAGAAGTGGAAGCAGAGTGTGAAGGAGGAGTATGACTCTCTGCTGGAGAATGAGACGTGGGAGCTGTGTGAGCTGCCACCTGGGAAGGAAGGCCATTTCTTCCAAGCTGATCTTCAGGCATAAGTACGGACCCGATGGGGAGCTGACCCGCTACAAGTCAAGGCTTGTGGCTAAGGGGTTCCAACAGACAAAGGGGAAGGATTTTGATGATATCTTTGCTCCTGTAGGGAAAGGCACTACACTGAGGACGATGTTGGCAATGGCTGCAAACCGTGGCTGGAAGATCAAGCAGATGGACATAATCACTGCATTCCTCAATGGAATCATTCTGGAAGAGCTGTACATGCTGCAGCCTGAGGGGTTGGATGATGGGAGCGGCAGGGTGTGCAGGCTCAAGAAGGCCATCTATGGCCTGAAGCAGGCTCCTCGCGCATGGTACCACAAGCTGGAGGAGACACTGCTGGCTGGGGGTTCAAGAAGAGCGAGTGTGATCACAGCCTGTTCCTGCTGCAAGAGAAGGAGCAGTTCCTCATGCTCCTGGTGTACGTGGACGACATCCTGCTCTTCTCTGAGTCGTCTGCAATGATTGAACGTGTGGAGGAGATGCTGGAAATGCAGTTCAAGTGCTCCAAGATGGGAGATGTGAAGTACTACCTTGGGATGCATGTGGAGAGGGACCTTGACAAGGGAGTGTTGAGGTTGCACCAGAGGAAGTACTGTGAGGGGCTGGCCGAGAAGTATGGACTGCAAGATGGAGGAAAGCCAGCCACCCCACTGCCTTTGGGGTTCACTGTGGAGCCCTGTGCTGATGAGGAGGTGGTGGGTGAGAGTGACAGGAAGCTGTTTCATTCCATGGTGGGGGCACTCAATTATGCGGCTAACCACACACGGCCTGACATTGCCTTTGCTACATCCAGGCTTGCAAGTGTGGTTGCACGCCCCAGTCATGAGCAGCTGGAAGCAGCCAAGAGGTTGGTCCGCTATGTGAGCGCTACGTCATCAATGGCTTAGAGTACAGTGCTGTGCGACAGAGGCTGCAGAGGGGTGCAGCTGATTTGGGCAAGGGGGAGATGCTTCTGACTTGCTACACCGACGCCAGCTTCAACTCTGTGAAGGCGGATGGCACCAGCATGGAGGCTATGTGTGCCTGTTTGGAGGTGGTGCAGTGAGCTGGCGCAGCAAGAAGCAGAACGAGGTGGGGCAGTCCTCGTGTGAGACAGAGTACATGGCCCTGCATCATGGGCAAAGGAGGTGGTGTGGCTGAGGCGTTTGTTGGAGGAGATCGGAGTGTGCCAGAGGGAGCCGACTGTGATTTTCTGTGACAATGAGGTCGGCGGTGAAGCTAGCAAAGAATGCTTGTCTTCATGGGCTGACCAAACACATCAGGCCTAAGTGCATTGGGTGAGGAGGCTCCTGGACAAGGAGGTGCGACTGGAGATTGTGAAGACCCATCAGCAGGCGGCTGACATTCTCACCAAGCGCCTGGCTGAATCTGAGCATTGGAAGGGCATGAAGCTTGCTGGAATGAGTGTGTATTGAGGGTGCATGATTGAGCTATGGCATGTGGGATGATGGTAGGCAGCCAGAGGGGGAGTTTGTTATGTGATGCTATCATTTGCATTCACGTCTGTCTGCCTCCCATCATGTGTTCGTGCGTTGCATGTATGAAATGAGCGTGCGCAAAAGTTGTGTTTTCTGTGGTTTGGATTTTCTGAGTGTGTGTGAATGTTATTTGGCTTGAGCAGATATCTGAAGTGACTCCACTGCTCAAGAGCTTTCCGACGAACCAAGAATCACTTCAATCGGAGCACGAACAAGAAAGTTACAAACGTTGGAGTTCGTATGCTTTTGATATTTGGTTGTGGTGACCATGGAGAGTTGTGGGGTTGACTCAATATGGGGTACAGACTTTTGGGGGTTGGGAAATTCGTCACTACTACTATAGTTGCTGCCAATTGGTTGGGAGAAACCAAACCAGGTTGGCAAGTGTGGCCAAGTTGGGTTGAGGTGAATTGTGGAGGTTGGGAAAGTGACAAAAGTGAAAGTGGGGTTGCATATGGAGAAGGGAATTATGTGGCATGGGGTTTCCTTGGTTGGGAACTCTCTTGGGACCTTCCCTCTCGTCCTCCTCATCCCATCCTACCTGGTTTAGTGCTACTCTAACTCTCTTGTGTGTAACTCTTGAGAACTTTTGAAACTATTGTAAGTGAATTAAGTTTCTATGTGGCAGCATACCCCTGGTGCGCCGAGAAGCATAACTAGAGATTTTACTCCACCTATTGATACGATTCAAATTGGGAATGATAGCCACGGACAATGGCTATAACATACTCGAGTTTCCGACGATTCTAACGGTGCACTTTTCGTCGACAACGTTTCTTGTGAAGTCGCGGTTTCTGTCCAGAATTTCAAGCAACGATTTTGAGAAATTTAGGCTCCTAATCTTCACAGACTCGATCCTTAGTCTATAACATGAGAGTGGGTGAGAGGGAATGAGAGCGTGTGAGAGTGGGTTAGAGGGAATGAGAGTGTATGAGAGTGGGTGAGAGGGAATGAGAGCGTATGAGAGTGGTGAGAGGGAATGAGAGCGTATGAGGTGGGTGGGAGGGAATGAGAGCGTATGAGAGGGGTGAGAGGAATGAGAGCGTATGAGTGTGGGTGAGAGGGAATGAGAGCGTATGAGAGTGGGTGAGAGGGAATGAGAGCGTATGAGAGTGGGTGAGAGGGAATGAGAGCGTAAGAGAGTGGGTGAGAGGGAATGAGAGGGTATGAGAGTGGGTGAGAGGGAATGAGAGTGTATGAGTGTGGGTGAGAGGGAATGAGAGCGTTTGAGAGTGGGTGAGAGGGAATTAGAGCGTATGAGAGTGGGTGAGAGGGAATGAGAGCGTATGAGAGTGGGTGAGAGGGAATGAGAGCGTATGAGAGTGGGCAAGAGGGAATGAGAGCGTATGAGAGTGGGTGAGAGGGAATGAGAGCGTATGAGAGTGGGTGAGAGGGAATGAGAGCGTATGAGTGTGGGTGGGAGGGAATGAGAGCGTATGAGAGTGGGTGAGAGGGAATGAGAGCGTATGAGAGTGGGCGAGAGGGAATGAGAGCGTATGAGAGTGGGTGAGAGGGAATTAGAGCGTATGAGAGTGGGTGAGAGGGAATGAGAGCGTATGAGTGTGGGTGAGAGGGAATGAGAGCGTTTGAGAGTGGGTGAGAGGGAATTAGAGCGTATGAGAGTGGGTGAGAGGGAATGAGAGCGTATGAGAGTGGGTGAGAGGGAATGAGAGCGTATGAGAGTGGGCAAGAGGGAATGAGAGTGTATGAGAGTGGGTGAGAGGGAATGAGAGCGTATGAGAGTGGGTGAGAGGGAATGAGAGCGTATGAGTGTGGGTGGGAGGGAATGAGAGCGTATGAGAGTGGGTGAGAGGGAATGAGAGCGTATGAGAGTGGGCGAGAGGGAATGAGAGCGTATGAGAGTGGGTGAGAGGGAATGAGAGTGTATGAGAGTGGGTTAGAGGGAATGAGAGTGTATGAGAGTGGGTGAGAAGGAATGAGAGCGTAAGAGAGTGGGTGAGAGGGAATGACAGCGTATGAGAGTGGGTGAGAGGGAATGAGAGCGTATGAGAGTGGGTGGGAGGGAATGAGAGCGTATGAGAGTGGGTGAGAGGGAATGAGAGCGTAAGAGAGTGGATGAGAGGGAATGAGAGGGTATGAGAGTAGGTGAGAGGGAATGAGAGTGTATGAGAGTGGTTGAGAGGGAATGAGAGCGTATGAGAGTGGGTGAGAGGGATTGAGAGTGTATGAGAGTGGGTGAGAGGGAATGAGAGCGTAAGAGAGTGGGTGAGAGGGAATGACAGGGTATGAGAGGGAATGAGAGGGAATGAGAGCGTAAGAAAGTGGGTGAGTGGGAATGAGAGGGTATGAGAGTGGGTGAGAGGGAATGAAAGCGTATGAGTGTGGGTGGGAGGGAATGAGAGCGTATGAGAGTGGGTGAGAGGGAATGAGAGCGTAAGAGAGTGGATGAGAGGGAATGAGAGGGTATGAGAGTGGGTGAGAGGGAATGAGTGTGTATGAGTGTGGGTGAGAGGGAATGAGAGCGTATGAGAGTGTGTGAGAGGGAATGAGAGCGTATGAGAGTGGGTGAGAGGGAATGAGAGCGTATGAGAGTGGGTGAGAGGGAATGAGAGCGTAGAAGAGTGGGTGAGATGGAATGAGAGCGTATGAGAGTGGGTGAGAGGGAATGAGAGCGTATGAGAGTGGGTGAGAGGGAATGAGAGCGTATGAGAGTGGGTGAGAGGGAATGAGAGCGTATGAGAGTGGGTGAGAGGGAATAAGAGCGTATGAGAGTGGGTGAGAGGGAATGAGAGCGTATGAGCGTGGGTGAGAGGGAATGAGAGGGTATGAGAGTGGGTGAGAGGAATTGAGAGCGTATGAGAGTGGGTAAGAGGGAATGAGAGCGTATAAGAGTGGGCGAGAGGGAATGAGAGCGTATGAGAGTGGGTGAGAGGGAATGAGAGCGTATGAGAGTGGGTTTGAGGGAATGAGAGTGTATGAGAGTGGGTGAGAGGGAATGAGAGCGTAAGAGAGTGGGTGAGAGGGAATGAGAGGGTATGGGAGTGGGTGAGAGGGAATGAGAGCGTAAGAAAGTGGGTGAGTGGGAATGAGAGGGTATGAGAGTGGGTGAGAGGGAATGAGAGCGTATGAGTGTGGGTGGGAGGGAATGAGGGCGTATGAGAGTGGGTGAGAGGGAATGAGAGCGTAAGAGAGTGGATGAGAGGGAATGAGAGGGTATGAGAGTGGGTGAGAGGGAATGAGTGTGTATGAGTGTGGGTGAGAGGGAATGAGAGCGTATGAGAGTGTGTGAGAGGGATTGAGAGCGTATGAGAGTGGGTGAGAGGGAATGAGAGCGTATGAGAGTGGGTGAGAGGGAATGAGAGCGTAGAAGAGTGGGTGAGATGGAATGAGAGCATATGAGATTGGGTGAGAGGGAATGAGAGCGTATGAGAGTGGGTTGAAAGGGAATGAGAGCGTATGAGAGTGGGTGAGAGGGAATGAGAGCGTATGAGAGTGGGTGAGAGGGAATGAGAGCGTATGAGAGTGGGCAAGAGGGAATAAGAGCGTATGAGAGTGGGTGAGAGGGAATGAGAGCGTATGAGAGTGGGTGAGAGGGAATGAGAGGGCATGAGAGTGGGTGAGAGGAAGTGAGAGCGTATGAGAGTGCGTGAGAGGGAATGAGAGCGTATGAGAGTGGGTGAGAGGGAATGAGAGCGTATGGGAGTGGGTGAGAGGGAATGAGAGCGTATGAGAGTGGGTGAGAGGGAATGAGAGCGTATGAGAGTGGGTGAGAGGGAATGAGAGCGTATGAGAGTGGGTGAGAGGGAATGAGAGCGTCTGAGAGTGGGTGAGAGGGAATGAGAGCGTATGAGAGTGGGTGAGAGGGAATGAGAGCGGTAAGAGAGTGGATGAGAGGGAATGAGAGCGTATGAGAGTGGGTGAGAGGGAATGGGAGCGTTTGAGTGTGGGTGAGAGGGAATGAGAGCGTATGAGAGTGGGTGAGAGGGAATGAGAGCGTATGAGAGTGGGTGAGAGGGAATGAGAGCGTATGAGAGTGGGTGAGAGGGAATGAAAGCGTATTAGAGTGGGTTAGAGGCAATGAGAGCGTTTGAGAGTGGGTGAGAGGGAATGAGAGCGTATGAGTGTGGGTGAGAGGGAATGAGAGCGTATGAGAGTGGGTGAGAGGGAATGAGAGCGTATGAGAGTGGGCGAGAGGGAATGAGAGCGTATGAGAGTGGGCGAGAGGGAATGAGAGCGAATGAGAGTGGGTGAGAGTGAATGAGAGCGTATGAAAGTGGGTGTGAGGGAATGAGAGCGTAAGAGAGTGGATGAGAGGGAATGAGAGGGTATGAGAGTGGGTGAGAGGGAATGAGAGTGTATGAGTGTGGGTGAGAGGGAATGAGAGCGTATGAGAGTGGGTGAGAGGGATTGAGAGCGTATGAGAGTGGGTGAGAGGGAATGAGAGCGTATGAGTGTGGGTGAGAGGGAATTAGAGCGTATGAGAGTGGGTGAGAGGGAATGAGAGCGTATGAGAGTGGGTGAGAGGGAATGAGAGCGTATGAGAGTGGGTGAGAGGGAATGAGAGCGTAAGAGAGTGGGTGAGAGGGAATGAGAGGGTATGAGAGTGGGTGAGAGGGAATGAGAGTGTATGAGTGTGGGTGAGAGGGAATGAGAGCGTATGAGAGTGGGTGAGAGGGAATTAAAGCGTATGAGAGTGGGTGAGAGGGAATAAGAGCGTATGAGAGTGGGTGAGAGGGAATGAGAGCGTATGAGAGTGGACAAGAGGGAATGAGAGCGTATGAGAGTGGGTGAGAGGGAATGAGAGCGTATGAGAGTGGGTGAGAGGGAATGAGAGCGTATGAGTGTGGGTGGGAGGGAATGAGAGCGTATGAGAGTGGGTGAGAGGAATGAGAGCGTATGAGAGTGGGCGAGAGGGAATGAGAGCGTATGAGAGTGGGTCAGAGGGAATGAGAGCGTATGAGAGTGGGTTAGAGGGAATGAGAGTGTATGAGAGTGGGTGAGAGGGAATGAGAGCGTAAGAGAGTGGGTGAGAGGGAATGACAGCGTATGAGAGTGGGTGAGAGGGAATGAGAGCGTATGAGAGTGGGTGGGAGGGAATGAGAGCGTAAGAGAGTGGATGAGAGGGAATGAGAGGGTATGAGAGTGGGTGAGAGGGAATGAGAGTGTATGAGGGTGGTTGAGAGGGAATGCGAGCGTATGAGAGTGGGTGAGAGGGATTGAGAGCGTATGAGAGTGGGTGAGAGGGAATGAGAGCGTATGAGAGTGGGTTAGAGGGAATGAGAGTGTATGAGAGTGGGTGAGAGGGAATGAGAGGGTATGAGAGTGGGTGAGAAGAAGTGAGAGCGTATGAGAGTGGGTGAGAGGGAATGAGAGCGTATGAGAGTGGGTTGAGAGGGAATGAGAGCGTATGGGAGTGGGTGAGAGGGAATGAGAGCGTATGAGTGTGGGTGAGAGGGAATGAGAGCGTAAGAGAGTGGATGAGAGGGAATGAGAGCGTATGAGATTGGGTGAGAGGGAATGAGAGCGTATGCAAGTGGGTGAGAGGGAATGAGAGCGTATGAGAGTGGGTGAGAGGGCATGAGAGCGTTAGGAGAGTGGGTGAGAGGGAATGAAAGCGTATGAGAGTGGGTTAGAGGCAATGAGAGCGTTTGTGAGTGGGTGAGAGGGAATGAGAGCGTATGAGTGTGGGTGAGAGGGAATGAGAGCGTATGAGAGTGGGTGAGAGGGAATGAGAGCGTTTGAGAGTGTGTCAGAGGGAATGAGAGTGTGTGAGAGGGGATGAGAGGGGATGAGAGGGGATGGGAGGGGTTGAGAGCGGATGAGAGTGGATGAGAGTGGATGAGAGCGTATGAGAGAGTATGAGAGTGGGTGAGAGGGAATGAGAGCGTAGGAGAGTGGGTGAGAGGGAATGAGAGTGTATGAGAGTGGGTGAGAGGGAATGAGAGCGTATGAGAGTGGGTGAGAGGGAATGAGAGCGTATGAGAGTGGGTGAGAGGGAATGAGAGCGTTAGAGAGTGGGTGAGAGGGAATGAGAGCAAATGAGAGTGGGTGAGTGGGAATAAGAGCGTATGAGAGTGGGTGAGAGGGAATGAGAGGGTATGAGTAGTGGGTGAGAGGAAGTGAGAGCGTATGAGAGTGGGTGAGAGGGAATGAGAGCGTATGAGAGTGGGTGAGAGGGAATGAGAGCGTATGGGAGTGGGTGAGAGGGAATGAGAGCGTATGAGAGTGGGTGAGAGGGAATGAGAGCGTATGAGAGTGGGTGAGAGGGAATGAGAGCGTATGAGAGTGGGTGAGAGGGAATGAGAGCGTATGAGAGTGGGTGAGAGGGAATGAGAGGGTATGAGAGTGGGTGAGAGGGAATGAGAGCGTATGAGAGTGGGTGAGAGGGAATGAGAGCGTATGAGTGTGGGTGAGAGGGAATGAGAGCGTAAGAGAGTGGATGAGAGGGAATGAGAGCGTATGAGAGTGGGTGAGAGGGAATGAGAGCGTTTGAGTGTGGGTGAGAGGGAATGAGAGCGTATGAGAGTGGGTGAGAGGAATGAGAGCGTATGAGAGTGGGTGAGAGGGAATGAGAGCGTATGAGAGTGGGTGAGAGGGAATGAAAGCATATGAGAGTGGGTTAGAGGCAATGAGAGCGTTTGTGAGTGGGTGAGAGGGAATGAGAGCGTATGAGTGTGGGTGGGAGGGAATGAGAGCGTATGAGAGTGGGTGAGAGGGAATGAGAGCGTATGAGAGTGGGCGAGAGGGAATGAGAGCGTATGAGAGTGGGCGAGAGGGAATGAGAGCGTATGAGAGTGGGTGAGAGGGAATGAGAGCGTATGAGAGTGGGTTAGAAGGAATGAGTGTGTATGAGAGTGGGTGAGAGGGAATGAGAGCGTAAGAGAGTGGGGTGAGAGGGAATGAGAGCGTATGAGTGTGGGTGGGAGGGAATGAGAGTGTATGAGAGTGGGTGAGAGGGAATTGAGAGGCGTAAGAGAGTGGATGAGAGGGAATGAGAGGGTATGAGAGTGGGTGAGAGGGAATGAGAGTGTATGAGTGTGGGTGAGAGGGAATGAGAGCGTATGAGAGTGGGTGAGAGGGGATCGAGAGCGTATGAGAGTGGGTGAGAGGGAATGAGAGCGTATGAGGTATGAGAGGTTATGAGGTGGGTGAGAGGGAATGAGAGCGTATGAGAGTGGGTGAGAGGGAATGAGAGCGTATACGAGTGGGCGAGAGGGAATGAGAGCGTTATGAGAGTGGGTTGAGAGGGAATGAGAGCGTATGAGAGTGGGTTTGAGGGAATGAGAGTGTATGAGAGTGGGTGAGAGGGAATGAGAGCGTAAGAGAGTGGGTGAGAGGGGAATGAGAGGGTATGGAGAGTGGGTGAGAGGGAATGAGAGCGTAAGAAAGTGGTGTGAGTGGGAATGAGAGGGTATGAGAGTGGGTGAGAGGGAATGAGAGCGTATGAGTGTGGGTGGGAGGGAATGAGAGCGTATGAAGAGTGGGTGAGAGGGAATGAGAGCGTAGAGAGTGGATGAGAGGGAATGAGAGGGTATGAGAGTGGGTGAGAGGGAATGAGTGTGTATGAGTGTGGGTGAGAGGGAATGAGAGCGTATGAGAGTGTGTGAGAGGGATTGAGAGCGTATGAGAGTGGGTGAGAGGGAATGAGAGCGTTTGAAGAGTGTGTCAGAGGGAATGAGAGCGTAGAAGAGTGGGTGAGATGGAATGAGAGCGTATGAGAGTGGGTGAGAGGAATGAGAGCGTATGAGAGTGGGTGAGATGGAATGAGAGCGTATGAGAGTGGGTGAGAGGGAATGAGAGCGTATGAGAGTGGGTGAGAGGGAATGAGAGCGTATGAGAGTGGGCAAGAGGGAATAGAGCGTATGAGAGTGGGTGAGAGGGAATGAGAGCGTATGAGAGTGGGTGAGAGGGAATGAGAGGGCATGAGAGTGGGTGAGAGGAAGTGAGAGCGTATGAGAGTGGGTGAGAGGGAATGAGAGCGTATGAGAGTGGGATGAGAGGGAATGAGAGCGTATGGGAGTGGGTGAGAGGGAATGAGAGCGTATGAGAGTGGGTGAGAGGGAATGAGAGCGTATGAGAGTGGGTGAGAGGGAATGAGAGCGTATGAGAGTGGGTGAGAGGGAATGAGAGCGTAAGAGAGTGGGTGAGAGGAATGAGAGGGTATGAGAGTGGGTGAGAGGGAATGAGAGTGTATGAGTGTGGGTGAGAGGGAATGAGAGCGTATGAGAGTGGGTGAGAGGGAATTTAGAGCGTATGAGAGTGGGTGAGAGGGAATGAGAGCGTATGAGAGTGGGTGAGAGGGAATGAGAGCGTATGAGAGTGGACAAGAGGGAATGAGAGCGTATGAGAGTGGGTGAGAGGGAATGAGAGCGTATGAGAGTGGGTGAGAGGGAATGAGAGCGTATGAGTGTGGGTGGGAGGGAATGAGAGCGTATGAGAGTGGGTGAGAGGGAATGAGAGCGTATGAGAGTGGGCGAGAGGGAATGAGAGCGTATGAGAGTGGGTGAGAGGGAATGAGAGCGTAAGAGAGTGGGTGAGAGGGAATGAGAGCGTATGAGAGTGGGTGAGAGGGAATGAGAGCGTATGAGAGTGGGTGTGAGGGAATGAGAGCGTATGAGAGTGGGTGAGAGGGAATGAGAGCGTATGAGAGTGCGTGGGAGGGAATGAGAGCGTATGAGAGTGGGTGAGAGGGAATGAGAGCGTAAGAGAGTGGATGAGAGGGATTAGAGCGTATGAGAGTGGGTGAGAGGGAATGAGAGTGTATGAGTGTGGTTGAGAGGGATGAGAGCGTATGAGAGTGGGTGAGAGGGATTGAGAGCGTATGAGAGTGGGTGAGAGGAATGAGAGCGTATGAGAGTGGGTGAGAGGGAATGAGAGTGTATGAGAGTGGGTGAGAGGGAATGAGAGCGCATGAGAGTGTGTGAGAGGAATGAGAGCGTATGAGAGTGGGTGAGAGGGAATGAGAGCGTATGAGAGTGGGTGAGAGGGAATGAGAGCGTATGAGAGTGGGTGAGAGGGAATGAGAGCGTATGAGAGTGGGTGAGAGGAATGAGAGCGTATGAGAGTGGGTGAGAGGGAATGAGAGCGTATGAGAGTGGGTGAGAGGGAATGAGAGCGTAAGAGAGTGGGTGAGAGGGAATGAGAGGGTATGAGAGTGGGTGGAGGGAATGAGAGTGTATGAGTGTGGGTGGGAGGGAATGAGAGCGTATGAGAGTGGGTGAGAGGGATTAGAGCGTATGAGAGTGGGTGAGAGGGAATGAGAGCGTATGAGAGTGGGTGAGAGGGAATGAGAGCGTATGAGAGTGGGTGAGAGGGATGAGAGCGTATGAGAGTGGGTGAGAGGGAATGAGAGCGTATGAGAGTGGGTGAGAGGGAATGAGAGCGTATGAGTGTGGGTGGGAGGGAATGAGAGCGTATGAGAGTGGGTGAGAGGGAATGAGAGCGTATGAGAGTGGGTGAGTGGGAATGAGAGCGTATGAGAGTGGGTGAGAGGAATGAGAGTGTAAGAGAGTGGGTGAGAGGGAATGAGAGCGTATGAGAGTGGGTGAGAGGGAATGAGAGCGTATGAGAGTGGGTGTGAGGAATGAGAGCGTATGAGAGTGGGTGAGAGGGAATGAGAGCGTATGAGAGTGCGTGGGAGGGAATGAGAGCGTATGAGAGTGGGTGAGAGGGAATGAGAGCGTAAGAGAGTGGATGAGAGGGATTAGAGCGTATGAGAGTGGGTGAGAGGGAATGAGAGTGTATGAGTGTGGTTAGAGGGAATGAGAGCGTATGAGAGTGGGTGAGAGGGATGAGAGCGTATGAGAGTGGTGAGAGGGAATGAGAGCGTATGAGAGTGGGTGAGAGGGAATGAGAGTGTATGAGAGTGGGTGAGAGGGAATGAGAGGGTATGAGAGTGGGTGAGGGAGTGAGAGCGTATGAGAGTGGGTGAGAGGGAATGAGAGCGTATGAGAGTGGGTGAGAGGGAATGAGAGCGTATGGGAGTGGGTGAGAGGGAATGAGAGCGTATGAGAGTGGGTGAGAGGAATGAGAGCGTATGAAAGTGGGTGAGAGGGAATGAGAGCGTATGAGAGTGGGTGAGAGGGAATGAGAGCGTATGAGAGTGGGTGAGAGGGAATGAGAGCGTATGAGAGTGGGTGAGAGGGAATGAGAGCGTATGAGAGTGGGTGAGAGGGAATGAGAGCGTATGAGTGTAAGTGAGAGGGAATGAGAGCGTAAGAGAGTGGGAGAGGGAATGAGAGCGTATGAGAGTGGGTGAGAGGGAATGAGAGCGTTTGAGTGTGGGTGAGAGGGAATGAGAGCGTATGAGAGTGGGTGAGAGGGATGAGAGCGTATCAGAGTGGGTGAGAGGGAATGAGAGCGTATGAGAGTGGGCGAGAGGGAATGAGAGCGTATGAGAGTGGCGAGAGGGAATGAGAGAATATGAGAGTGGGTGAGAGGGAATGAGAGCGTATGAGAGTGGGATAGAGGGAATGAGAGTGTATGAGAGTGGGTGAGAGGGATGAGAGCGTAAGAGAGTGGGTGAGAGGGAATGAAAGCGTATGAGAGTGGGTTAGAGGCAATAAGAGCGTTTGTGAGTGGGTGAGAGGGAATGAGAGCGTATGAGTGTGGGTGAGAGGGAATGAGACGTATGAGAGTGTGTGAGAGGGAATGGAGCGTATGAGAGTGGTCGAGAGGGAATGAGAGCGTATGAGAGTGGGCGAGAGGAATGAGAGCATATGAGAGTGGGTGAGAGGGAATGAGAGCGTATGAGAGTGGGTGAAGGGAATGAAGGTATGAGAGTGGGTGAGAGGGAATGAGAGTGTATGAGTGTGGGTGAGAGGGAATGAGAGCGTATGAGAGTGGGTGAGAGGAATTAGAGCGTATGAGAGTGGGTGAGAGGGAATGAGAGCGTATGAGAGTGGGTGAGAGGGAATGAGAGCGTATGAGAGTGGACAAGAGGGAATGAGAGCGTATGAGAGTGGTGAGAGGGAATGAGAGCGTATGAGAGTGTTGGGAGGGAATGAGAGCGTATGAGTGTGGGTGGGAGGGAATGAGAGCGTATGAGAGTGGGTGAGAGGGAATGAGAGCGTATGAGAGTGGGCGAGTGGGAATGAGAGCGTATGAGAGTGGGTGAGAGGGAATGAGAGCGTAAGAGAGTGGGTGAGAGGGAATGAGAGCGTATGAGAGTGGTGTAGAGGGAATGAGAGCGTATGAGAGTGGTGGAGGGAATGAGAGCGTATGAGAGTTGGTGAGAGGGAATGAGAGCGTATGAGAGTGCGTGGAGGGAATGAGAGCGTATGAGAGTGGGTGAGAGGGAATGAGAGCGTAAGAGAGTGGATGAGAGGGAATTAGAGCGTATGAGAGTGGGTGAGAGGGAATGTAGTGTATGAGTGTGGTTGAGAGGGAATGAGAGCGTATGAGAGTGGTGAGAGGGATTGAGAGCGTATGAGAGTGGGTGAGAGGGAATGAGAGCGTATGAGAGTGGTGAGAGGGAATGAGAGCGTATGAGAGTGGGTGAGAGGGAATGAGAGCGTATGAGAGTGGGTGAGAGGAAGTGAGAGCGTATGAGAGTGGGTGAGAGGGAATGAGAGCGTATGAGAGTGGGAGAGGGAATGAGAGCGTATGGGAGTGGGTGAGAGGGAATGAGAGCGTATGAGAGTGGGTGAGAGGGAATGAGAGCGTATGAAAGTGGTGAGAGGGAATGAGAGCGTATGAGAGTGGGTGAGAGGGAATGAGAGCGTATGAGAGTGGTGAGAGGGATGAGAGCGTATGAGAGTGGGTGTGAGGGAATGAGAGCGTATGAGAGTGGGTGAGAGGGAATGAGAGCGTATGAGTGTAAGTGAGAGGGAATGAGAGCGTAAGAGAGTGGATGAGAGGGATGAGAGCGTATGAGAGTGGGTGAGAGGGAATGAGAGCGTTTGAGTGTGGGTGAGAGGGAATGAGAGCGTATGAGAGTGGGTGAGAGGGAATGAGAGCGTATCAAGTGGGTGAGAGGGAATGAGAGCGTATGAGAGTGGGCGAGAGGAATGAGAGCGTATGAGAGTGGGCGAGAGGGAATGAGAGAATATGAGAGTGGGTGAGAGGGAATGAGAGCGTATGAGAGTGGGGATAGAGGGAATGAGAGTGTATGAGAGTGGGTGAGAGGGAATGAGAGCGTAAGAGAGTGGGTGAGAGGGAATGAAAGCGTATGAGAGTGGGTTAGAGCAATAAGAGCGTTTGTGAGTGGTGAGAGGGAATGAGAGCGTATGAGTGTGGGTGAGAGGAATGAGAGCGTATGAGAGTGGGTGAGAGGGAATGGGAGCGTATGAGAGTGGGCGAGAGGGAATGAGAGCGTATGAGAGTGGGCGAGAGGGAATGAGAGCATATGAGAGTGGGTGAGAGGGAATGAGAGCGTATGAGAGTGGGATAGAGGAATGAGAGAGTATGAGAGTGGGTGAGAGGGAATGAGAGCGTATGAGAGTGGGTGAGAGGGAATGAGAGCGTATGAGTGTGGGTGAGAGGGAATGAGAGCGTATGAGAGTGGGTGAGAGGGAATTAGAGCGTATGAGAGTGGGTGAGAGGAATGAGAGCGTATGAGAGTGGGTGAGAGGGAATGAGAGCGTATGAGAGTGGGCGAGAGGGAATGAGAGCGTATGAGAGTGGGTGAGAGGGAATGAGAGCGTAAGAGAGTGGGTAGAGGGAATGAGAGCGTATGAGAGTGGGTGAGAGGGAATGAGAGCGTATGAGAGTGGGTGTGAGGGAATGAGAGCGTATGAGAGTGGGTGAGAGGGAATGAGAGCGTATGAGAGTGGGTGGAGGGAATGAGAGCGTATGAGAGTGGGTGAGAGGGAATGAGAGCGTATGAGAGTGATGAGAGGAATGAGAGCGTATGAGAGTGGGTGAGAGGGAATAGAGTGTATGAGTGTGGTTGAGAGGGAATGAGAGCGTATGAGAGTGGGTGAGAGGGATTGAGAGCGTATGAGAGTGGGATAGAGGGAATGAGAGTGTATGAGAGTGGGTGAGAGGGATGAGAGCGTAAGAGAGTGGGTGAGAGGGAATGAAAGCGTATGAGAGTGGTTAGAGGAATGAGAGCGTTTGTGAGTGGTGAAGAGGGAATGAGAGCGTATGAGTGGGGTGACAGGGAATGAGAGCGTATGAGAGTGGGTGAGAGGGAATGGAAGCGTATGAGAGTGGGTGAGAGGGAATGAGAGCGTATGAGAGTGGGCGAGAGGGATGAGAGCATATGAGAGTGGGTGAGAGGGAATGAGAGCGTATGAGAGTGGGATAGAGGGAATGAGAGTGTATGAGAGTGGGTGAGAGGGAATGAGAGCGTATGAGAGTGGGTGAGAGGAATGAGAGTCTGGAGTGTGGGTGAGAGGGAATGAGAGCGTATGAGAGTGGGTGAGAGGGAATTAGAGCGTAATGAGTGGGTGAGAGGGAATGAGAGCGTATGAGAGTGGGTGAGAGGGAATGAGAGCGTATGAGAGTGGGAGAAGGAATGAGAGCGTATGAGAGTGGGTAGAGGGAATGAGAGCGTAAGAGAGTGGGTGAGAGGGAATGAGAGCGTATGAGAGTGGGTGAGAGGGAATGAGAGCGTATGAGAGTGGGTGTGAGGGAATGAGAGCGTATGAGAGTGGTGAGAGGGAATGAGAGCGTATGAGAGTGCGTGGGAGGGAATGAGAGCGTATGAGAGTGGGTGAGAGGGAATGAGAGGTAAGAGAGTGGATGAGAGGGAATTAGAGCGTATGAGAGTGGGTGAGAGGGAATGAGAGTGTATGAGTGTGGTGAGAGGGAATGAGAGCGTATGAGAGTGGGTGAGAGGGATTGAGAGCGTATGAGAGTGGGTGAGAGGGATGAGAGCGTATGAGAGTGGGTGAGAGGGAATGAGAGTGTATGAGAGTGGGTGAGAGGGAATGAGAGGGTATGAGAGTGGGTGAGAGGAAGTGAGAGCGTATGAGAGTGGGTGAGAGGGAATGAGAGCGTATGAGAGTGGGTGAGAGGGAATGAGAGCGTATGGGAGTGGGTGAGAGGAATGAGAGCGTATGAGAGGTGTGAGAGGGAATGAGAGCGTATGAGAGTGGGTGAGAGGGAATGAGAGCGTATGAGAGTGGGTGAGAGGGAATGAGAGCGTATGAGAGTGGTGAGAGGGAATGAGAGCGTATGAGTGGGTGAGAGGGAATGAGAGCGTATGAGAGTGGGTGGAGGGAATGAGAGCGTATGAGTGTAAGTGAGAGGGAATGAGAGCGTAAGAGAGTGGATGAGAGGGAATGAGAGCGTATGAGAGTGGGTGAGAGGGAATGAGAGCGTTGAGTGTGGTGATAGGAATGAGAGCGTATGAGAGTGGGTGAGAGGGAATGAGAGCGTATGAGAGTGGGTGAGAGGAATGAGAGCGTATGAGAGTGGGCGAGAGGGAATGAGAGCGTATGAGAGTGGGCGAGAGGAATGAGAGATATGAGAGTGGGTGAGAGGGAATGAGAGCGTATGATAGTGGGTGAGAGGGAATGAGAGCGTAAGAGAGTGGGTGAGAGGGAATGAGAGGTATGAGAGTGGGTGAGAGGTAATGAGAGTGTATGAGTGTTGGGTGAGAGGTGAATGAGAGCGTATGAGAGTGGGTGAGAGGGAATTAGAGCGTATGAGAGTGGGTGAGAGGGAATGAGAGCGTATTAGAGTGGTGAGAGGGAATGAGAGTCGTATGAGAGTGGGTGAGAGGGAATGAGAGCGTATGAGAGTGGGTGAGAGGGAATGAGAGCGTAA